AACTGAATTGATTTTTTAAATTTAACTGGAGAGGTTTTTGACTGCTGGAATTTTTAGAAGTGTGTCACTTAATTTCCATATGTTTGAGTACTTCCCAGCTCACTTTTTGTTACTGATTTCTAGGTTACTTTCCTTGTGGCCTGAGAACACACTTTATATGATTTCTGTCCTTTCAAGTTTTTTAAGATGTGGTTTATGGCCCAGAATGTGGTCTGTCTTAATGAATACACCATGAGTCTTGGGAGAATGTGTATGCTGTGGCTGTTGAATGTAGCATTGTATAAACATCAATTAGATCCGGTTGATTAATGTTGCTATTTTGGTCAAATATATCTTTGTTGATCCTCTGCCTGATTGATCTATAAATCACTGACAAGAGGATGCCAAAGTTGCCAACGACAAGAGTAGATTTATCATTTCTTCGTTCTAGTTCTTCCAGTTTTTGCTTTGTGCATGTTTTATACATTTTGATATCTGCTGGTAGGTCTATACGAGATTAAGATTATTACATATTGTTGTAGAATTAATGTGAAGACACAGCCTTCTACCATCCAGTCTATGGTATTTTGTTATAGTGATGAGAGTTGGCTAAGGCACTCTGTTCCAGAAAAATACAATTATACTTTTTGCCCATTTTAAAAGCACCTATCTGTTCCTGTTGTAAACCTATACTTCAGCTCAGAAAAGCATTTACTGTTTACCAAAGGTGATAATCTCTTTTTCACCTCTGAGTCTCTGTACCCCACCTTGCCTTATTAGACTAGATTCTGGCTGTGTGTGTTTCTTTTTTTACAATTTATTTTTTTATTTTTATTTATTTTAATTTAAGATATTTTTATGTTTATTTTTTTAAATTCAGGATATTTCTAGACCCATGGTACACTAATAGGTCTGTGCTTTCATCCCCCTCTTATTGCTGTGTTTTTGTATTTTCTTTCTAATCCATAGAATTGTTTACCCACTTTTTTTGAGTGTAGCTATATATATATAAAGTATATTTTGGTGCTTCTTGGTGGAGATAAGAAACAGCAGTGATCAACACAATATTGAAATAGAAAACCAAAAGACATGGGCACACTCAAACATAAGGCAACCACCTCAACTGCAAAGAGATGGATCTGAAGCACAAAAATTGGTTAAAGGGCTAAAATTTCTGCCTGACAAAGCTCTGGATCCAGAATCAGGTAGCAGCAGTACAGTTTTAAAATTTATTCTCCCAAAGATTGTTGCTCAATGTGTATTAGTACAATGTTTCAGCAAATTGCATTAAACATTTTTTTCTATTAATAGGTGCATATGTGCAAGAATTTCTCCAGGGAATACAGCTAGAAGAGAAGTTGCTGGGTCGTGGGGACAATGCACATTTTGATATTTTCTAGATGTTGTCAAATTGGTTTCCAAATTTTACCAATTGACACTCCCACTAGCACCGTTAGAGAATTTCTACTTCTTCCTGTCCTCCCAACACCAGTCTGTGAGATACCCTCCGTGCTTCATCTAATAAAAGTAATACAGTGTTTCATTGTTTTCATTTGCATGTCCTAGATTACAGTGGTTGAACCATGTTTCCTTTTTTAATAGGTATTTTTGGTTTTGTCTTTTGTAAACTTGCTTGTTTATACCAGTTGCCCATTTTTTAAAGTTAGTTTCTTTCATGTTTATGGTTTTTAGGAGTTCCCTACCATGCATTCTTTATCCCAGCTATAATCAAAGTTCCCTTCTGAGCATTATCCTGAAACTACTTGTCAAGATCACCTCCATATTTCCAAATCCCACATACACTCTGGGTCCTCACCCCACTCAATATCTTCATACCATTCCTGAAGTTAACCACTCTCTTCTCTTTGTCAATGCATTCTCTCTTGGGTTTTGTATTTTATTACTTTCTTTTCCTTTTTTTTTTTTTAAAGAGATTATGCTTTTCATTTATGAATTGCCAGTGCCAAGAACATTGCTCAGCCTATATTGGATATTTAATAAATACATTTAAGTGTATAGTTTCTAGTGAATAGTTTCTATTAGGATCAAGATATACATTGCAGCTTTTGTCTCTGCTTTCTCATCAACTAGCAGGGCCCCCATGCAAGCCTCTAGGGTTCCATCCTGTTTCAACATTCTATTAATCCTCATAGAGCTATATTCTTCCTTTTCCCCTAAGTGTATTCATCAGGTGTTGCAACCAGTAGACTTTTTAAATGAACTTTGATCCTGACACTTGGTCACTTTTGTTTTAAGAAGCTTGTGCACAGACACTAGCAATTGCTACTATATGAAGTGGATATGTGATGTACTAAAATAGAATCTAGAAGAGGTCATCTCACTAGCTTTCCCTGGTGACTAATATAGAATTCAGGGCCAGCTATCCACAGGCAAATAGTTATTATTTCACCTACTGAGCTGTCTCCTATTCTTGAACTAGAATTGTTCATTTTTTTATTACTTTTCTTATCTTTTTCTCTTCTTCTTTTCCTTCTCCTCCTCCTCTTCCTTCTTAGTATGCATGATTCTGAAAAGAAATTAAAACTGAAAAAAAATTTAAGACTTTTACCAAATGTGAAATATTTTAAGGGGTTAAACTGTTTTTTATTCTAAAATACAAAAATATTAGAAAATATATGAAAATGTTTTCATATCTAATTAATTATATGATTATGATTCACTAACATCACAAATTTAAAAATTACTTTAATAGTGAATTAAAAATTCCAGGTTGTTTTTTCACAACTATGAATTGTCAAAAGGTACAATTTTTTAATAAAAATTAAATGTAACAAATAAACCTGGTTTAAAAGAAACTAACCGAATGTACATGCTTATTGTGATGAAACTAAAGATCAATACTGTTTTTTTTAAATTTACAGTACGACTTGGTTTGTAGTGATTTTAAATATCTCTATATTTTAACTAAAAAGTCAACAGTATGGTACAGAAATAGAATTAGAATGGGACTTGAGCCCTTTCTTTTCAATCTTCCTTCTCATCTCTCCTCCACAATCCACCCAAAGTAGTGTTGAACAGAGAATTGAATTTTCTTCTCTCCTATATTGAAAATTAGTATGTATTAGTGATAAAAACAAATTATTTGGATGGCTTTCTTTGTTATCTCTGGGAAAAAGAGCCCTGTGTAAATTAATTAGACATTGATTTCCTTTGTATTCTGTGAAAAAAAAAAATTGTGAAAAGTGCGATGATGAACCAGCATCTATGTATAGGGACAGCTGTATGTATGGAAGTGGGAGGATGTCACTTCCCTAGCATGTGTCCCATTATATATGTGTGTGTGTGTGCTTTTTTTTTTTTTTTTTTTAAAGAAGTGGTGTTGACAGTAGGGAAATGAAAGCCAAGTCTACTTTTTACATTTCATTTTTTCAGTCGCAAGTGAAATGGGGAAAAAGAATTTAGTTTTTTCTCATTAAAGAATAAAGTAAGCTAGAGAAAATAAAATGTTGTTAGGAAAATCATAAGGAAGAGCAAATATATTTACTATTCATTAAGTGGAAGTGGATCATCATGAATGTCTTCATCCTTCATGTTGAGTAGGCTAAGGAGGAGGAGGAATAAGAGGAAGGGGGTTGGTCTTACTGTCTCCAGGTGGCAGGGGTGGAAGAAAATTTGGGGATAAGTCGACCTATGCAGTTCACATCTGTGCAATTTAAGGATAAACTGTACAGTAATGTTGCTACTACTCAAATATTTCCAACAATTCTCTTTTTTTGCAGTGTTCTTTAAGAGATTATTTTCACTCTTGCAAATATTTTATTCTTTTGGGAATACTTTTTGTAATAGCCAGAACTAAATTTTGAGTAGTCTCTTATGAATATTTTTAAGCAAGGTGATTTTTTTAAGTTATAATTATATAATTAAGTGGCTTATAAAATGACAATAATGATTTGATCAACAAGCATTATTGAAATTATGGCATCAGAAGGTGGCTACAGAGAGGTGAATCACTTGCTTGAATATATACATTTTTAAATGCAGTCATTTTATTTTAGTATCACAATTCAAAAGAAAAATAATTCATCCATGTGGTATTTCCTGAGGGTCTGAAGGATCATGAATACAGTGAAGGCACAGTATAATTGCAATTCTCTTCGTTATAAATCAAATTAAAAAGCTGGTGCAAAAAAATCTATTTTGTTTGAACTCTTATTATTTTCCACTCATTCTGTGTCTATGGCAGAAAAATATCATTTTAGAAGCTTTCAGAACACCTCCTGAGGAAAACTTGGGGTCTACGATTACTGTAGACTGGTCCTTTTATACATAAAATTGATGATGCTGACCCTCTTGTAAATAACATGAGGTCTCTAAGTTGTTTTCTCAGCACTGTTGATGGATTTATCCTGGCCCCTTCGAATGCTTTGTCCTGTCCCTTTATACCCTACAGAACACATTTCCAGACAGATGCCTGGAGTTTGAGGAATATATGTTGTAACTCTGGGCCTATGCATAGCAAAAATTGAACTATACAGTATCATATAACAGTTTGTCACTAAATTTCTATTAAAAATCTTTGATGCCTAATTGAAAACAAAGCACACCACTGTTAAGATCACATGCAGGAGCTGACCCTCCTGGGATACTATACTGGTGACCACATGGGAGAGACAGGAACATTTAATAATCCTTTAAATGAAGGATATCTAGTTTAATGTAAATCATGAATTCAGAGATCAATGGAAATTATGTAATTATTAATATTCTTATCATGTTATTTTATATAAAATGATAAGAAAATTCCCTGGGAGTATCTAACCTTATAGTGAGTAGCTTAAAAGAGAAACCTGATCAATATGACAGATGCATTGACAAAGAGATTAATAGCTAAAGAACATCTATTGTATTTACCATATCATGTATCTTTGGGCCTTTTTCCCCAATTTATTCTCTGGATAATCTTTGATTATAAGTTCAGGTTGAAGTATTGTTTTTTCCATAAAATTTGGAATTTAATGTAAAATGTCATTTTACTTAGTCTATAAATTTTCAAAATACAGTGGTGTCACAAAACTCAACCACCTAAGAAGTAATCTTGATGACTGCTTCACCATGAAATGGCAATTGCACACTGGGACCACCCCCTTCAGAGAGAAGAAAAGCATATGTCAAATTGCCTTAACTAGAGATCCTTCAGGCAAAATGCATCCCTTTTTGGCACTGTCAAGAGCTGGAATAAATCAGAGGTAAGTGGGTTAAAATGTCAGTACCCACTAGGACTGAGAAAAACCTACTACTTTTCTACTTTTCAGTAAAATATTAACCATAGTACCCTCTAGTTCTTCATGTATTAATACAGAGAAGAAAACAATACCTTCCTAATCATTGGATGACATTGTCAAATTGCCAGGAGACTAGAACTATTGTCATAAGAGATTAAACTCAGTGATATGAAAGTTCTTGCTAAAAGGTTTTAAGTCTTGGTTTATTTGTAGACGTAATCCTTTCTCCTCTGTTTCATCAATCACTATTTCTAAAATACCAGCCCTCTGGATGGCAATTGAGATTACTACCGCTTTTTAAAATTGTTTGCTATTTCAAATCACCATAATGTGACTTGGTGAATTTCAATAGAAAATCATTTTCTAAGATCTGTAAGTAAACCTGTTCGAAATGGGAAACTTGCTAAACCCAGTAAATAGCCTTAGGGCTAAAGACACTGGCTGGGTTATTGATCACCAATGACAGCAAATAGTGACCTCACACCAACAGAATGTAAACTTCCAAACTCATTGATAGCATTCCTGACTTGGGGTTAGAATTTATGTTCTCTTTCTATAAACTGTTTGACTTAGATGATGAATGACGGTTAAGGTAACAGAGCAGCGTAAATGATGAAAATGCAGTTGGATCCGTGTTATTTTAAGTCTGGTTTTCTTTGAAGTTCAGTGTAATTGCCTTGATATAGTAGGAAAGAAAAGTTGTTAGAATTGCCTTTTTTTATTTTAGAAAGGAAAATTAATTTTACCAGTACAATTTATTCCAAGTCATTTTGAGAAAATATTTTTTAACTTCCAACTTGGATTTTCTTTTCAGTCTGACAAGATAAAGATTTTAACCACCTATAGCTTCTTTTACTGTTATATATTCTGACTAACTAGGGAAAACAATGTGAATTTAGCTACTTTTCATGCAAAAAGCCTAAGGAGATAAATTCCTTAGAATACTTTTACTTGTTGTAGTCATTTTTTTTGCTTTGTTTTTGCTTTTGGACATAGCACATGCATTTCTAAATTGGCTGAGCCTTTCAAAAATTTCCAAATAAGTTGTCATTTCAAAAGGATATATTTTATTACCTCAAAATTGTCTTTTATTCATTTTTAAATCAGCTGACAATTATTTATTAGAGAGTGTTCATGCACGCAGTTACATAATATGTTATAGTAAAGATGGGAAAATAAGACAAGATTCCTAAAAATACAAAAGGTATAAAAATAATTACTATACATGCATGTATTCATAAAATGACTACCATTTATTGAGCAACTGGTAACATGTATCATTTTTTACTTATGTTGTAACATAAATGACATCTCTGCAAGGCTGAATGTTAAAGGACTACCTCATGGAGTCCATGTCAGGGCCTCTGCTGCCTTACAGATGAGGAAGCTGAGGGTAAGACTGGCCTCCACAAGATATAAGCAAACCAAGGGGCATATTCACGGGTCAAACACAGGCTGCAGGAAAGTCAGAAGGGAATAGATGTAAGTGTGCACACTAGATAATAGAGGAGATCAGAGGGGCAAGCAGACTTTATGAATAAAGTGACTGTCAAAGGCTTAATGCAAAAAGTGGAATTTACCCTGCATCAAAGATCTGATGTGCCCGGTGAGATGGAGAGAAAGGAGAACTGGGTATGGTCACACTTGGATTTTATAGTAATCGTATAGATAGCTAAATGGGAACCCAAAGGGTTCAAGTGGTTTGCCAAATTTGCATAGTAAGTGGGTGCAGCTGGAACTGGAATGTATATCTCCTGATTAAGTTGACTGCTCTTTTGACCACAGCATAGTGTTTTCTTTTCAATGGAACACACACACACTATCACTTACTGTCTGTACAAAATGTTCAACAACAGCTCTAAAAGCTCAATCACCCGTTTCATCTGGTCCTTCCCACCTGCGTCATTAGGGGTGGTAAATGAACATGGTATGTAATAATTAGCAGAGCCTCCTGCACAGCAGCCACTCTTCCCATCCCATCTTGCTACCATCGTGAGGCTAGTAGTCAGGAAATGCCAAAGAAAGCTGTTTTTCCTTCATATGATTTATTTCTTGGCTTTTATCATTCATAAAAAATCTAAATCAAACCTTTATTGCCTGTTTTACTTTCATGCAATGTAGTGAAAACCATTCTCGCATGGGTCGGTACGGACGCTCAGAGTTGGTGATCTTTACCAATGGTGTCAAGCTGCAGCAGAGCAATATGTAATTATGCTGGCTGGGATTTTTCAAGAGCTGTCTTAAACTTCTCTCATGTATGGACCACACTTTCTCACACACACACATACACATGTGCATACACATACACATATGCACACATGTGCATAGAACTCTCAACACTCAGTAGCACTTGGTGAGCAAGAAGGTCAAATCAACCCTCATTAGGCTTTGTCGTAAGAAGAGCATGCTTGCTGCAATAGGTCTTCCTAATCTGGTTTTAATTCCTCAGAAACCACATATTGGCCGACTACGAATGCTCTCCAGCATGTAGCAGGAAGAAGTGCTTTTGTGAGCTATAATTAAAAGGCTATTTATGCCACACATGTAATCATGTGCTCTCTATTACCAGCTCTTAAAGGCATCTAGGTTGAGGCAGCCCCCGAGTTAGTTACACATGTGAATGATTTGTGGCACTATTACCTGCAGCTGCTGAGGATAGCAAAGTTTATCATTCTATTAACCCTACAATTAACCCTCATTACATGGCCTGCCAAGAGCAGGTGCATCCCCAGAATATGTTCAGTTTCGTAATGGCCAGTCCCAGTGCACAAGCAGATAGCATTGCAGCTGGAGAGGACATGCCTGCCACATGTGCTTTTGGGGTACAGAAGGGGTGGTTGCCTATTTCAATTGACCAGAGTGTTTTCAGCAACAACTGATGACCAACAACATACTGAGTCCCACAGGTGTAGCCATGTAACCACTGTACCTACAGAACACCAGCTTAGACCCTCACCCCATCCAAACATCAGGACCCCAGGCAGGAAGAACCTAAGATATCCTGGGTGAGTAAGGTGAGCAGTGGGACTTATTTTACACTGACCAGCCACCTCCTTCAAATATTGTCATCATTCTCCTATGTTGTCTCTCAAACTGGGTTCTTTTACGAGGAGTATTTTCCTTGTTTGGGGGATTATGCTTAGTGTGGTGTTAGCATTAGGATGGCTAAGTCCATGCCTCTGTTATTCTCTTTGATATATTTTTGTTGTTGTTGTTTGCCTGTTTATGGATAAACAGACTGATCTAATCCATCTATTAGAACAAAGTCTCTTAATCTGATTACCAAATAAGATTAAGTGCATCCTTGAGTTTGGTATTTAAAAACTATTTTATTTTTCTCTGTTTGGAGGGGATTTTCCCTTCAACCTCCCTCTCCTGCTGCACTGAATTTGTCTCTCTTGCATGTGGAGGGCGAGGCACATTCCTAGTTGTCCCCTATCCACACCCATCATCCCAGAGGTCAATCGAAGCTGACAGGGTGTGACATTGGATATTTTGGCTTGCTGAGAAATGGGCCCAGTGAGGCTGAGAGTGGAGATTTCCCAGTAGGAGGAGTCAGACTTGGTGGCCAGTGAGTCAGAGTTTGGTTTACCACTACCCCTTTCATTTCCCCCAGCTTTGCTGGAGTGGGTTCATGAGTCAGTGCAAAGAGTTCCTTCTTTGTTTATTTTAGACTTACTGGCCTCAGTCAATGAAAAACAGCCACTTTCACACCACTGGCTTTGATGGCCAGTGGAGTTCAGTTCCATGATTATGGCAGAGTGGTGATTTGAGTTACACGATCAAAGTTTATGTCTCTCAAGTCATTTTCAATTAGCAGCACTGTGTCCCCAATTGCTGACTCTATGTATGCAGTGGTGATGTAATAAAAAGCATACTACCCTGACAGTCAGAAAATGGCTCTGCTGCTCACAAAATTGTGGCCATCAGCAAGTCAACTTAACCCTCCTGGAAGTTTTCTCAGTTTTCTCATCTGTCAAATGAAGAAACTGGACTGTGTCCATGCGTTGGAAAATAGCACAATACAAATGGTGGTTTATATTGTCACATATATGGTCAATAAAACAGAAATGGACTGTGCTCCTATAAGGTCCAAAGTCTAAAAAATCTAAACAAATACATGTGTGATTAGAGATGATTATTGGTTGTATTACCTTCAAGGCGCTACGAGAAAAAAACTAACAGAGTGAGATGAACACTCTCTCTAAGGAGATGATGGCTGGAGGAGAAATATGAAGAGGATCGAAGTTTGGCATGTGTGGAAGGTAGGGGTGGCAGAGGAGGGCAGCTGTTGGTGGCTTTGAAGAACCAAGGGAGGCTTTTGTGTGGAGAGCACGAGAGAGGAAAGCGATGCAAAAGAATGCTAGAAAGAAAACGGGGATGAAACCCTGCAAGGCCTGTCGTCCAGGTGAAAATATTTGAAATCTAAGCCCCCCGGGAGACAATGGAAGAGTTTGAAGCAGAGAAGTGTGTGATGATCCAAATACATTTTTAAACAGCTCACTGCATAGAAAGTCAGAGGAGAAATTCAGAGAAAGCTCCATCACTCTGCAAGAGAAAAGGAACAAGGTGCAATAATGGGAAGAAAATGAGGTAGAACGAACATTTCGCCAAGAATGCGATGGAAACTTATGAAGAGACAAGCAAATTAGAGAGAAGCAGTCAGAACTGTACAATGGTTTGTATCCTTTCAATAGTAAGAGTTAGGGAAGCCAATGAAATGACTGTGTTGGAATTTAATTGTGTAAAAATTAGTTTCCTTGACAATAAGCCCCACACTTTGATAGTGATGATATAATAAAAAGGGGGGAGAATAGAAAAATAGAAACCAAAGCACATGAAGTAAATAGTAATTAATATCAGAACTACATATGGTTTTGCTAGCTTCACATTGGGAAAGATATGCGCCTCCCATAAAAGATAATATCACAAAGGGAAGAACTGATATTTTGAATAAAAAAGTT